GTGGCCTTTACAGCCAAAAATTCGTTAGGTCAGAAAACCACAGATGGCAGCAGAGAGAGAGAAAGAGGAATAGGACAAAACAGTTTGTTATCCAGCTGGAAGCAAGGATGACTAGTCATCTGAGAAACGGATGACTAGTCATCATTTTATGAAGACTGTTTAATGTAATGATATGCAATGCTCAATACCTTTGTGAAATTGCTTGAGCCACCATAGAACAGAGATTAGAGAAGAGCACCAATAAAAGTTTTCCCTAATCTAGACTTGAGCTTGATAAATTACATTACACATCCTATTACAAAGTTCTCAAGAGAAGCCAAAAGAAAATAGTAAAAACCATACATTAACAGTCCTACACTTAACAGATTTTCATCCAAGCAAGGCACAATCATGACCTCTTTAATACGTCTAGTCACACCTTGCATTTCTTTGACCAAAGTACCTTTGCCTATTGACTGTACCAAGTCAACAGTGCCCAGTTTGACTATGCACCTCACATTTTTATCAATATCCACAAGCAAAGACTCATGAGAGGTCATGTGATTACTACATGCACTATCAACATACCACATATTCACATTCTTTCCAATGGTAGCAGAGTGGCATGCATAAAACATAGTTGCGGGTTCGGTTACCTGATTTGCAAAGGTAGCAAGCTTCCCTGCGTTGTTTTCTTGATCACAGTTCTTGATGAAGTGCCCAAACCGATTGCAGCCATGACACTTTGGTTTCCCTTTAAACCAGCATTCACCATAGTGCAGCTTGTCACAATGCTTGCATTTCCCCTTAGCTTGTTCGGACTTGTCTCCTTGACCATGCTTTCCTCCTTGATTGACATAATTTTGAGGTTTAGCATCCCTTTTCTTCTCCTTTGATTTCCAGCTCTTATTTGATTTGTTATTACCAACATCAGAATTTGACTAAGATCCCTTTTGGTTTATGCTCATACTGCTAAAGGCTCTCTCAGTGGTGCTCTCAACATGTCTATCAAGACATTGAGAAAATCCTCTTAATGCTGCAATTACCTCCTGCACCTCAATGGTTTCAATGTCCTTAGTTTGCTCAATCACATAGCAGACCTGATCAAACTCCTTGGTCAAGCTTATGAGCAGTTTTTGAACCAACCATGCTCTGGGTAAGTCTTCCCCATATCCCTTCATTTGATTCACCAACTCAAGCAACCGAGTGAGATACACAGACAAGGTTTCATCATCCTTCATTCTTGTGTACTCAAAATCTATACGCAGACCCTGCAGCTTAATGGATCTGACCTGTTTATCACCATGAAACTCCTGATGTAGAATGTCCCAAGCACCCTTTGAGGTTTCTTCATTCGAAATTCTAGGGAAAATGTCATCTGAGACAGCCCCTTGAATAATACCCAGTGCCTTAGCATCCTTCATTAACAGAGTTTCTTTCTTTGATTCTGACAAACCCTCTGCCTTAATCTTCTTTCCTTTCGATTATGAGATTCCAAGTCCCTTTTCAACTAAATCCCAGAGTCTGTGTGATTTGAAGATGGTTCTCATCCAGATATTCCAGAATTCATAGTCGTCACCATTGAATATTGGAGCCCGAAGATCACCACCACTTGACCCAGCCACTTGAGATCTGAATCAATGAACTGAGTCTGAAATTTCACGTTGGATTTCAAAGCTCAGCTCCGACGCCCATTTCCATATCCAACCTTCGCTCTTGATACCATGTTAAGATATGGATTTGGATTATCAAGGGAGCTCGAGATCTAGAGAGAGTGAGAGAGGTAGCTAGGAGAAAACAGAATTTGGAAATGTTCTCTGGTGCGATCTACAAATCCGTTGCAGAAACCAAGGTAGCTGATTTTCTAGCAGCAACAGGTCGTGGCAGAGATGTTGGAACATGCAATCCATGTTGAAGATGGGGTCATTTGCGTCAATATGCTCCTCATCAGAAGGGTACTTCCGGAACAGTTCAATTACAAAGCAACCATCAAGTATCATCATTTCTACCAAGTCATTTTGGCTTAGATGATCAAGTGGTTCAGCATAAAATTTGCGGGCCGATTTCTCCAGCGGAACGACGCAATCGATTAAGTTTTTCAAGCTCACATTATTCCTACGTGACAAAAGATTATTTAAATACCATTGCTTCACATTTTCCATGTGCTGAAATTGTTTACCAGCTCCGTGGTGAAATGGACCGATTGAGACAAAACCAGGTTCGTATGCCTCTGGTTTATGTCTCTTGAGCACCTCCGGAACTCTAAAGATGCAGCTTTTGGCCGCCCAAGAGGATGAGTCAGGGCAAAGCTTTGCTCTCATGGTGTTTTCCAATGCCTGGAGCCCAATATATCCGTCTACTATAACAACTGAAATATGGTCCCTGTTACTATTCTGTATACCATTCTCCATGATACGTATTGTCTCGAAAGGCTGAAACAAGCTGCAGTGGCAAGGAAATCAAATCAACTTACAAAATAAACAATTATGCACTATGTAGGATTGTGAGATAGGTAGAACTGAATTCAAATTCTAGTATATACATATATAAATTTTTTGTCTGGAAAATCAATACAAGTATTTCACAACCAATTTTACTGCAACTAACCGCTTTTGAAGATTATGTAGACAGAGAGAGTATTGAATTCAGCAATGCTCGAAGTGGTAGTTAAAGAAGGATGCAAGGAGGATTTGTAGAAGCTGCAAATTGATTTTTGGGTAGGATAGAGATTTGGGATAAACAGATTGTTCCACCAAAACTCAACTACAACGAGCTAAACTCTGAGAAAGATGTAGTAAATTGTTCACGTACTTCATCTTTTATAAACTCAAAATTAGTCAACGTGCTCTTTCTTTCTTTCTTTCTATTTTATGTTTCCGCGATGATCTGGTTGATGTTTTCTTTTTTCTTGCTGGCAGCTGGCAATATAGATTGGATCATATTCAAACGAATTAGAGAAAGAAAATGTGAAAGTCCAACAAATAATCCCTCTAATCTACATTGTTAATCTTATCTTTTTGTTTTGTTGGGTAATTAGTCTTTCTTTCTTTTTTTTGTCAATGGGTAATTAATCTTAGATTTAACAAATGCCAATGTGCATTATTATATTCACATCTTACAATCAAATATTGACGGCCACTGGCCCGTCTGCCCCAGCAGGTCTTTAGAGCATCTCCACCCACAAGGGCTAAGTCTAGGGCAAGAACTGCCACTATTCATGTAGTGGCAGCCTTGCCATTTGTGGTTCCACCCCAAAAGGCAAGGGCAAGGGCAAGGCTAAGGCAAATACTATTCATTGTACTTTATTTCCTATTTTTTTTATACTTTAAACCATTAATTTTGATAAGCTTTTCAGGTAATATTTTCGATTGCCACATGTCACTATTTATTATAAAATTCTCACGTAAAATTTCAGATAACATTTTCGGATAAAATTTTCAAATTAAATTTTCGGATAAGATTTTCAGTTGCCACGTGTCCATATTTATTATAAAATTCAGATCTCACACATACAATTGAAATACCTACTCACTCATCATACAATTGAAATACTCACGGTCCTCATAGTCCGACACAATGGAGTACAAGGGCAACTCCATCATTGGACGAGGTGGTTCCACCGGATCACGACGTGGGGGAGTATTTTCCTTCGGATGACGTAATAGTGCCATTATTTCTGACACAGAACGTACCACTGAAACCGACTGCGAGCATTGTTACTTGAGGAGCCATGTGTAATGGTTTTCCTCTTTTTTGTTTTCCCTTGAATAATCTTTTTTTTTTAATAAAGGAAATTGGAAATGCAAGAAATATATATTTTTTTAAAATGACATTAAATTGAATAAAACGGCAAAAAAAAAAAAATTTACCTCGTCGCCAAGATTTTGACCTCTTCGAACGTTTGTCTATGACCCTCCGGCTTCGATGGAAGAGGCTATTTGTATTTTTGCACAAATGGAATTTTGTAGTAGAAAATTTGGTGTGGAATGAGATGAATTTGTATGAAGATTTGGTGTGAAAAGTGAATAATATTGGTAGGTATTTATATAAAAAAATTCCAGAATTTTTTTCAATTTTTTTAAGCTAAAAATTGGACATCTGTTGGATTGGGCAAAAATTTTTTATCGGAGGCTTCAGGAGAAGCCACGTGGCTTATAACTGTTGGGCCATGTGGGCTGGTGGGTCAGCACTGACATCAATGGTAGATTTTCAAATTTTTGTATTGTTGGCGCGTGTATTCCACGCGCGAAGAGCAAAAAAAATTTGAAAATTAGGAGCTAACTTCAGCAGCCCAAGGGCAACAGCTCAGGCAGGATTAGCCCGTGGGCTTGCCCAGGTTGGTGGGACCCAGGGCTTGCCCGGGCTGAATTGTTTGCGCTGGAGGTCCAAACCTCACCCGGGGGGCCTGTTGCCCTGGCAGGCTTGCTGCGGTGGACATGCTCTTAATTAATCAAAACTCGCCTTTAAAGTCTTTAATTAACAAGGGTCTCTAGGTTTTTATTTTAATGCTGTTATTTCCACTCACATATCCTATTTTTCACCTATGTTATTTTCAAAATTTTTAAGACAAATTTACCTATTTATAAAATAACTTCTAAGGACACATACGAGTCTCTATTTCTCTCTCACCTGCACCCACACCCAATTTTTTTTTTTCGATATCCACACCCATCTTTATACTTAACCCACCAAACAAACTCGAAGTCAGCATCTTTCTCTCACTATGTTCTTCAGAAATTAGGACCCAGAAACTTGAACTTAAAAACTTATAACCCCAATTTTATTTTCAATCACACATACAAAAGCTTTTTCAATCACACATAATTCAATCGTTTTTCTTTCTTCTCTAACTCTAAAAGCTCAAGTAGTTCCATAATTACATCGACTTTGAGCTGGGCAACTCTAAAACTAACATAAACCCATGTCTATTTAATTTTCTTCCTTTGTTTCTTTCTTTCCTTTTAATTTCAAACTCAAATAACACCTCTCTTGCAGTCTCTGAAATTAAAAATTAAAATAAAGCAAATGTGTTTCCATTTTCAGGAATAGATAGAGCAATCAATGTGAGATTAATCTTGGTTGCAGTTCACTACTTTTTTCTTTTTTTCTCTGTATCTTGAATGTAACATCCCACATCGACTAACGGAGAGAGGGTGATGTGCCTTATATATACATGCCCACCTCCATCTAGCACGATGCCTTTTGGGAGCTCACTGACTTCAAAGTCATGGGAACTCTGAAGTGAAGTGAGTTGGGGTTAGAGCAATTCCAGGATGCATGACCCACTGGGAAGTTGCTCGTGAGTTCCCATAAACAAAACCGTGAGGGCAGAGAGGGGAGCCCAAAGCGAACAATATTGAAATAATTGATCAAAAGTCACCCTTCAAATCTTTAATTAACAAGGACCTCGAGTTCATTAGTCATTTTTCACATGTTCTAGAGATTGAACTTAAAACCATATGAAGATATGTATACAGACTACGATGTTATATTAAACGTACCTATCGAAATAAACTAAAGACGTTCTGCAGCGACATGTATTATTAACAACCTCAATGAAAACACCACCGACGTCACCGGTTGCATTATTGCCAACATCAATTAGTATTAGTAAATTAACATATATATATATATATATATATAATACTCAAGTCATTGGTCTCGCACCTACCAAGTGCTTATAGTTCTACATGCATCTACTCCATCAAAATATAACTATCTAAATCAAAATCCTAATACTGGGGCTTTGATTTCTAGCGAAATCTGTGTGTTTATCCCTCAGGCTTATACATGAATATGATATGAAGTTGTCTATGAATTTGATGTATATTTCTCTATAAGAGAACATATGTATTTGTAGAGTGCCTGTATCTCACAAAAGACACAACCCAATCAGATAACGTTTTAAAGATATTATCTAATATTTGAATTTTAAATTAATTAATTAATTAATTAATTAAATGGGTTTAATTTAAATCACAGAGCCCAAGGCTCAAGGCCCATCTTTTGATTAATTAATCATTAACCCAACTAATTAGGCATTGACCCAAATGCCAAACCCACACGTCATTCAATTGGGAAACTTGCATAGCCCCAAACTAATTTATTTCCAAGAGTCATTCTATAGTGAGGGCCTAATATATGGTCCTTAGGTAAGACCCTATTTTTTACCCGTTGGATCAAATTGGTTAGCCGTTTGATCAATTTGGGTAGCTTGATCCAATGATTAAGAGATAGGGCCTCACCTAAGGGCTATATATAAGGCGCTCACTATAGAATTCTTGCTACTTCCAAGTAGAGGTCTTACAATGTGGGACTAATTTCAACTCAAACATGCTTGTAATGCCTTGAAAAGCCAACAAACAGTACATTGAAATTATTCAATACATAATTGACCAATAAAACATTAACATCACAAAGACTGCCATAAATAATCTAGCCGAAAGAAACATAATAGAACAATTACACAACCTGTCTGTACTCCACAATACAGGAATGGGAAATTAGATACCCTTTTATTCTAGCATAATATCCACTGCCTAGCAGTGGTACTAAAAGAACGAAACCCAGAACTTAATGATGCACATTAGGAGCATCAATGTGGCAGCACTTGTAACTGATAAAAGTCTCCATGCTACGGTTGCAATCGGGACATTTCATTGTGTCCGGGACCTTCCCGGTAGAGCCTGGAATATCAAGGCGGCAGCAAGGTGTAAAGCCAATCTTCGCATAGTATGTCGTGAAACAAAACTCAAAGCCTTTCTCTCTCACTTGTCCCTTCCATTTGTCAAAGTCCTCTGTCACCTTCAAAATTGAGATACCATGACCGGCGACAACCAAAGAAGACCCCTTGCTGAGCACAGCCCATCCACTTTCATTTTTGTAAGAAAGTAGCTTTTGGATATCTAGCGTGGCTGAGTCGGCCTGCTTGTGTATCTTGGTGTGGAACAGGCTTTCTATTCCGGTCCAGAAGCGCCATAGAATGCCAAAGTCATCTTCTCCCTTGCTGTCTTTCCCCACACAAAACAACTTTATGTTAATCTTTGCTTCCTTCAAGATGAGATCATTTGCAAGAGCAGTTGCTTTCTCTTTGAATTGTTTGATCCAGTCTTTGTCTTTGCCTCCATAGAAGAAAATGTACTCATCCTCTTTCTGTTTGATCAAAATAAATTAAACCACAAAAACTTGCTTTATCATCAAATTTACATCATAGATTCAAATACGGGTAATGTCAGAGGGACCCTAAATGTATGGCTTTGGTCACATTGCATGCATGCAATGTCATTGATAAATGTATGGTTTCTGTTCGAATTATTAATTAAAAGGAACTTACAGAGTCGGGTAGAGTCGGATAAATCTCTCTGATTAAATTGCCAAACCATTGAAGAGACTTTGAGATTTCTTTCTCTCTTGCTTCTGTGAAAGGGAAGGCCTTGGGCCCCCATACCCGAATCATGTGGAATGCGTTGGAATGTTCAACCTTTCCTTGTGGGCTCATCACCACCAATGTAGGCTTACCCTTGAAGTTCCACTCCTCCTTGATGAACCTGATACCAGCTATGGGTGCAGAGATCTGCACTGTGTACCACGGCATCTTGATCCTCAGGGTCTCGAACTTCTTTCGCAGCTCATTGGTCCACTGCTCGACGATTGGAATCCACACAATCTTATGCTGGTCCTCTTTCTTAGTGAACTCATAAATGGGTTTGAGGATAGAAATGTCATCATCAGTGATATCTAGGCTTGAAAGGAATAGGAGTATGTTTTTCTTCCTCAGGATGTCGATATCAACCTGTTTAAACAATTAGGCCACCACAATTTCACTCTATTAAAAACCTAATATACTTCTTAAACAACAATTTCTAAGGGCAGTAGAGCAAACCGTTTGTTCAGTAGAACCATCAATCAGTGGCTGAACATTGTCTTTGCTAAAGATCAGGGCCTTGAAAACCTCCTTGATTTCAGTAGGAGTTCGAAAGATTTTCCTTATCCTCCGGTAAGCTTCTGCGTCCTCTGTGGATTATACAGAAAATTACTTTCTTCAGCATTTTTCATTAATATTATAATATGACTCCTAATGAAGGATATGCAAGTAATTACACACCAACTTGTTTTCTACAAATTTTCAGCTGTACGTTAAGCTTGTTCAGGATGAAATGGATTTTTTGAGCGTATGGGACTAGGTCATGCTCCTTGTCCCTGAAACAAAGGCAACCATGGTCTTATTATTTTGAAGTACTAAACAAATATTGAATTTTTTTTGGTCAGACATCAATTAAGAATGAAGAGTTAACGTACTCATCACTGGTGAGAATAGTGACCTTAGTTGCGCAAGCAACAAGAGTCAAAATAGCCCAATATGCATCCACTGGAATATGTTCCATTGCTAATGCCAACTCCGGCACATCCCTTGGATCGTAACTGGAAAGCTTTTCAAACTGATCGAAGATCCCGATAACTTGCATTGTAACCTTGATCAAGTTGTTAAGCTCAACCACTGCTTGCCTTCTTTTTTGCAGGTTTGAGGGCTTGAGGAGGAAAGGGACTCTCTTCAGGATTGAAATTGATTTGGCAAGTCGGTCCGATTCCTGAGCCTGGGCAAGGAGCCAGAACTCCCCATATTCCATAGCAAAAGCTGCCAGAGTCAGCACTGCCTTTGCTTCCCATGAATAGTTTGACAGCTTGTTCAGTATTACAAGGGCAGTTTCATGGGCAACTTTCTCACCAGGAGGTTTGCATTGCATCTGAAAATTTAAGTATTTAATAGTTTTAATATGAAAAATATGAAAGCAAACAATAAAAAATAAAAAATAAAAATAATGTATGTACATGAAAATTGTTACGAGCAATATAAACAAAAATTTATTTATTTTCTGATGTAATTACCTCGCTGGCTATGGACTTAAGTATGCACAATGGTGTACTGAAGTTGGCCATGAGGGGCTTCTCCTCTATGTTTTCCTCATGCACTTGGGTACCCTGCAACAACCCACAAGTTTATGTAGCAGTGCTTTAGATATTAATAATAATTAATAATGATCAATGGTATGATAATATATAATTAATAATAATAATTAATAAGAACCTTTGTGATAAAGTACCTGCACAATTTTGTCGACAGTTTGGATTGCATGCTTGAGGATGTTTTCAACAATTTCGAAAAGAGAATCCTCATCAAAAGAAGTATCAACATTGACATAATGAGTTGCATAAATTTGGTCCAAGATTTTCTTATCAGACATGGAAAACAGGCTATTTATAGCCATATTCAGTTTAGTCTAAAACTTGTCCCAAATAAAATATTACTCCCCATGTTATCTCCATGTGAAGCTACTCAAACTGAAAGAGAGAATAAGGTTGAAAACAATAGACAAAAGGCCATTACAAATATCACAGTGGACACGTATGTAAATGTACCTCAATATAATTATAAAAAGAAAAGACAGATTTCACACTGTGATTTCTTTGTAAGGAGTCAAATATATATTTTCCTATTAAAATCCCAAATAATAAGAACAAATATAGTGCTTGGATAAGGAGTTAAGTATTCTCCTATCCGAACTCCGGTATAGAACTTGGGATTTAATTGTGTTAAAGAGTTTCAATTTCATTTTGAAGGTTAAAAACAGAACTCACATAATTGATTCACCACAAAGACAATATAATGATCAGTCATAGGAAGGGCAACTATTCTAATTAGGTGTTTCAAAGTATGATGCAAGAATCATGACAAGTGTCATAAGATTAGCTAAGATTTCTATAAGTCTAATACAATAACAAGGATCCACCTTATTTCACATTGGATCCAACTTCTTTTATATGTTAATTATTTCTTGTTTAAAAAAATTAAATGGCTTTGGACAGATAATCAATCAGAAATGATTGACATGGTCTGAAAGCGAAAAGCCCTACAATTCTACCAAATTTTAAACTACATAAACAAATAGGTCAGTTTCAGATGATAATTTAAAATATCTGCGACGGACTACTTATCTTTCTGAGAAAACAAAAAATAAAAGACATAAAAATCACGTGTTTTGCTGCAAATTATTATTATTATTTTCTCCAGTTAAGCATTCCCACTAAACTAACCACATGGCTGACAAAGTGTGAATGTTTATGTTCCTCGTATTTGAAAATTGAACATGCATGATTAAATATAAAACAATTTACTCTCTTTTTCTGTGCAGATCAGAAGATCATGAAATATGTTTGTTAATGTCTTATTAATGTATTGACCAAAAAAAAATGTCTTATTAATGTACACAACTCCACCACGTTTGTGCATATGTGGCGAGTCGTCCGACGTCATCCATTTCGTTGTTGCCTTACGTCATTTGTCTTGTTATCAATTTTTTATGTCACCGTTCATTCTTACGTGTTAATTAGTGTGCATCAAATCATCTAACCGCAAACTGAAATTAGGATGCAACAAAATGATATTAGAGCAATTGGTAATGGGGGTGTCTTATACTAATCTGTAATTGAATTATGACATGTTTATTAATCCGTAATTATGTGTTAAAACATTTATGATATGTTTATTAATCCATAATTGGATTATGAGGAATTGAATTGAGGATGAATTCAATTAAGAAGGAGTTGGATTAAGGAGAATTAGATTCCAGATTCCTATTGAAGTTGTTTACTAAACAATATGGATTGAGGGGAGTTAGATTTCGGATTCCTATTGAAGTTTTTTACTAAACCATAATTGGGGTAAAACTGGTACTAATTACTAAAGTGTCCTCGTTATTGGGTTAAAGTAGATGGAATATTTGGATTTTTGAAAATTGTATGAGGATATAATGGGTAAAAAAGATGAGTTCCTAATGGATTAGTTCTTCAGAAATTAGAATATCACCTTCCATCCAAGAATTGAATTTCTCCAAAATCAGGAATTCAATTCCTAATTTTGTGTGGGCCCTACTTACTTTTCAATTCATTAATGTAAAGTAAATGCAAGAATCGTTCATAGGTGGAATTCAATTCTTGATGAGAATTTCAATTCCTGATTAGTAATTATAGGAAAAGTATGAATTTAGCCAGGCTGATTCTGAATTTTTGAAAGCCCAGTGTAAAAGTAAAGAATTAGACCTCTTTCTATTGCGTTATAATTTTTATTGAATATATCCAAATTTTTATAGACTCGTAAAAAACTCTCATTGACTACATATATTAACTTTTAAAAAACTTCATTAAAATCCAAAAAAATCCTGTATTGATTCTTCAACATAGAATACAACATAGATCCATATTATTTGGGAAGGTCTATGCCCAAGAAACCCAACAAATTATAAAGATTAATCTACAGTATTTTAAATGTCCAGATGTGTTGTGTAGTGTACAATCAGAGACAAGTAACCGTCGGCTACTAATTGTTATTATTATCTCCAATTAAGCATTCCCACTAACTAAACCATAATTTTCGTTTATGTCTTCATATTCACATGGCTTGGCTTGATTATGTTTCTCGTTTTGAAAATTGAACATGCTTAAACAATAAATATATGACGTATCATTAAATAGCACTTGTTAAAGATAATATTAATTAGTGGAGTAGTAAGACAATAACTTTCACACCGGTTATCAGTTTATCACAAACACTGTTATGAAATTTGTATGATGTCATCCCTTAATAGGGCGGAATTTGAAATTTTCAATGGGTGGGTTAATTAAAGTTATTAACTTAAAATTTAATGATAATTTTTCTTTCGGTACTTACATTTTTTATAAATTTCTAGAAATAAAAGTATATATTAAATCATATAAATCATGCTAACCATATAATTAACGAAAGGTTGAATTTCATTTAGAGAAATGCTTCTCTTTTGGAGACAAATTAATGGTAAAAGATTAAAATTGATGTTTGGACAAACTTTGACACCAAATACAAATGTGAAAGACCTCTGACTATGCCTATTGGTGTTCGCACAGTATTCCACTCATTGAAGTTTGATGGAACTTAGAAGTTATCGATATTTAAATTGTAGCTATAATAACTGAAAATGGTACTTAGGTGACGAGGGGTAAATTTAATCACACAAACAAGACACAACAACACAGCAATCTTCACACACTTTAAACCTTGACCAAATACACATATGACTAGTCAACTGCTAGTCATGAACAATCACAATCAAGAGAACACACAGAGCATGCCACAATGTACCTGCAACCCTAGAAGATTACTAGTGACAACCTAGGCACTCAAAAGGACCCGTCAATCTAGGCATCCCCTGTGCTAGCAACAACTATGGTGAAAGTGTGTGAAATCATCATTATCATGTAAACATCAAACAGCAGATAAAGATGACTAGTCAACCGCGAGAACCCAGATGACTAGTCAACTATCAAGAACACAAACCCAGAAAATTTACAGATATGCAAACCAGAATTTGTTCACCCAGAAACCCACCATTGGGAAAAACTGGGGGTCATCAACCGACCAGGCAATCCACTAAGTAGAAAAAGATTCTTACAAAGAACACTAGCAAGCTCAAGAAATTCCTAGGTCTATTTAGGAAGATGAGCTATACCTCCTTTGTGCAATCTTCTTCTCCAACTTAGCAAAGCTTGAAGCTCAGTCCTTCATGGCAATGGCAGCTCCTTCTCCAGCTCGTTCATCCCATGGCACTAGCTTGCAAGCTCCAACACAAACCGAAACCAATTTGGATTCAAAGGAGAAAGACCAATTTCTT